CCATTTTTCTTTTATTATTCATATGTGCATACAAGGCTTGGGTCATTTCTCTGCCCTGCCCCCACCCCCTTCCTTACCACCCACTCCGCCCCCTCCCTCTCTCCCCCCTCAATACCCAGCAGAAACTATTTTGCCCTTATTTCTAATTTTGTTGTAGAGAGAGTATAAGCAATAATAGGAAGGAACAAGGGTTTTTGCTGGTTGAGATAAGGATAGCTATACAGGGCATTGACTCACATTGATTTCCTGTGCGTGGGTGTTACCTTCTAGGTTAATTCTTTTTGGTCTAACCTTTTCCACACCTTTTTCTAATGAAGGGATCGAAGTAAACAGAGTGACTTGAAGTTTGGAAAGACTAATTGCATGAGAAATCTTGTCACATATTTGTTTTCTTTACCCTAGACAACACAGCTTCAATACTAACGAGGAGAAATGGTTTTCGGAGACAGGAGCAATCCGTTTACTATCTACCAATTTTCATTGTGGACAGTGGCTCTCCCTCACTCAGCAGCACCAACACCCTCACCATCCGTGTCTGTGACTGTGATGCTGAAGGCATCGCCCAGACCTGCAATGCAGAGGCCTACGCCTTACCTGCTGGCCTCAGCACAGGAGCCCTGATAGCAATACTCGCCTGCATCCTGACGCTACTGGGTAGGTGCTGTCACGAGCACCATGCTCCACAGACAGCCTTCCTATTTTCTTCTCTGTTCCTTTACAGTATATAATATATATATATATATATATATATATATATATATACACACACACACACACACACACACACTTTTTTGTGGTACTGGGATTTGAACTCAAGGCCCTGGGACTCTACCACCATAGCCATATCTCAGGCCCTTTTTGTTTTTAGATTAATTTTCAGATAGCATGATAGGTTTTTGATGGGGCTGACCTCCATCCAGCATAGTTGGGATTGCAAACATGTACCACCATGCCAGGCTACTGTACCATCTTGAGAACTTATGCCAAATTCTATGAATGGTGTTTTGATCACTAAGTAACATTCACCAGATGGCCACACTGACCAATGTGTGTTTAAAATATAACCAGAATAAAATAATATCAATTTCATTTTTAAGACAAAAATGAAGGTATATAGCTTCTTCTCAATATTGATGTTTTCCAAGACTTTCATTTTAAATTTAACTTCTCTCATTTCTTTGCTCTCAAATACTTTAGTCTAGATACTCTAGCCTGCAAAGAATGTCTTCTATATTGTTTTGATAATATGCTTATTTTAGAAATTATGACTTTATAGTCAGCTTTTTTAAAGTTGGATGTCCTAAATTATTTGCAAATTTCAAAAGATTGAAATCTCAGCCATACCAACATTATAGTTTCCTAAGAATGGTTAACATAATTGTATTTTTCCATGATTATTTTATTTGCTTAAGCTGTATTTATAGCTTGCATTAGAATTGCAGTTTTATAAGAGATTATGCAGATCCTTTTAAAAATTGGGACACTTCCAAGATGGCATTGGGTGATGGGTTTATTCCAGTCAGCTTTCTCCTTCAGAGTATAACTTCCTTCACCAAGGACAGCAAGGAATTAACATTGACCTGAGATTGTACTGTACTTTGTTGGAGTGTAATGGAATTAGTGAATCCATTTATAACATATGTTTATAAAAGCATTTACAAGGGAAGTTAGAATTGTATGATGTTTAAAAGCAAGATTTGTTGAGCTGGGTAAAGCCTTCAACACACACTAGTTTTTCACAAGGGGAATATTAGTAGTTTCTCAATAGCTAGCATCTTAATCTAAAAGGGGCAAGTAATAGCATGACTCTCATAAAGTTGTGAGAATTAAATGAGATAATTCATGTGAAGAACAGAGTGCCTACCACATAGTGAACATTCAGTCTACTTTAAGGGCTATTGATGAAGCAAAAACCCTCACTCTATTAACCAAGCTAAGACCTAGTTACTAATACATTGTAAATTGTCTCATAAAAATGGAAGGTAGTATCTCCAATAACTTCAGCTAAACAAATACATCTAGAAAATAATTAAACTATTTTTTCCAAAGAGCTTCATACAAGCGGCAAAAACTTCAGAAATTCATGAGAAATGACAAGTAACTCCCAGTTACAGTCTGATTAGAATAAAGGGACCAGAGTAAATTTGAAAAAAATTTTATCAGAAAAATTGTGAACATGTTTTTATTGCTCTATTGGGTTCCATGTAAATTACGTATTTACTTTATACTAGCAGAATAACCTACAGAAGATTTTTAAATTCCTTTCATATTTAAAATGGCGATGTCTTTAACTTGAACGTACAGACTCAAAAAAATGAGATGAGAGTAGATGGTGTGTGGAACATTTTTCAACTGGACTAGTTTGTCACAAATCGTATACATTAAAAAGTACTTAAAAAACTGGAGGCCGGGGGCTCATACCTGTAATTGTAGCTACTCAAGAGGCAGAGATCAGGAAGGTCCGAATTCAAAGCCAAGCCAGTCTGTGAGACCCTATTTCAGAAAAACCCAGCACAAAACAGGGCTAATGTGGTATCTCCCATGCTGAGCGCCTGCCTGGTAAGCCTAAGGCTCTAAATCAAAACCCAGTACATTAAAAAAAATGTACTTACAAAAGTAAGATGAAACTGTACTCCCCAAATTTAACTGTTGCCAATAGTGAGTTCAGTTTTGATTTTTCAAAACCTGTTTGGTGAATTTTTCTTTCACTTGTCATAAAGATTGTCAGCTCTAACTTTGGAGCTCTTTGCAGTTGAGGTTCTTGAAGATGATAATTAAGAATTATCAAACTGTTATTGAAAATAACTAAAATAGAATTCATTAGACTTCGTTCTTGGTTTTAATGTATTTAAGTGCATATGTGTGAGCATATAGGCTTGGGAGATTTTGTCAAAATCAGGTATAACTATTGTTTTTGTTAAATCAAGCATGTTTTATGTATTAAGCAATTAGGAATGCCTCTTGAATTTGTAAGGGTCAAATTTTGTGCCTCAAATTTTACTCACTTTTGAAAGTTCCTACAAGTCTACAAAAGCATAAGAAAAACAGAGCTTTATTGTACAGAAATAGTTTTGAAACAGGGACTTTTGCCTTCAAGCTTCTGTTTCTATAGTGATGCTTTATAGTAGCCAGTGCTTTCAAATGCTAACATTTCAGCTCAAAATTGTAATCTCTTTGTAGTTTATTTCCTAACATGGTGATATCAGATAAGCAGGGCTTTTTGTACTCCTTTTGTTTGTGTCTTCACTATTGTGAACTGGATTTTCACAAGGTAGGGGCTGAAGCCAGTGAAACTGAGTATTCACAGTGTGGGGTACTAGTGAATTCATAACTCACATCTTTTCAAACAAATATGGCTACATAAAAATGAAGAGGAGGAGCTGGGAATGGTAAGGAAGAACCTGAGATTCAAGTTCAATTAAGGATGAAACTCAAGAAGCCACCAGGCTTCAGAGTCCTAAAAAAGAAGCACACTTTGCTACATGTTAAATTTCTCTTCCAGTTATGTGACAAATTAAAGTGACTTATAACTTGACAGAAAGTGATACACTGAAGTTCCAGAATGTTAACCCTGGAAAGCATCCCAGAAATCAATCTGGGCCCAAACCTCCTACTTTACAGAGGGATAAACAGACACTAGCTAGGTTCAGTATTTGCCAGAGTTCATCTAATGTGTTAGAGGCTACAATGGGATAGGATGCGAGGTCTCCTTATTTATAGTCACCGATTTCTGGTTAATCCACAAAATAAATAAACCGTGAAAATATAAATATCATTACTCGCATATAGTTTTTTATTTCTCAGGACTCGAGATGCATTTTACCTGAAGTTGGATTTGTCAACATTCACCTCCATCTGTATTTTTCTAACTTTATAGGTGAATAATTTTCTGATTTAGCTCTCATTCTGTTGCTTTCACCACGCTGCAATTTATTTGCACCTAAATTTTCTAAATTAGAGAGATGATCCAAAAATTATAATTGGTTTCCTTTAAACTGAATACAACTTGGATGGAAGAATCATGAAATTCAAATTTCATGATATAGTAATCAAACAGGTGCCTCAATTGTTTTTCATGTGGAAAATATTCATTAATATATTGCAAGATGCACTAGTATTCTGACGCTTGAATAAAAATTGTGACCCATGACCTAGCACCAACACCAATTTATTTGTGTATTTTATCATAGTTAAATTCATACTTTTTGACATACATAGTTATTTTACCACCAGACTAAAAGCACTTTGAAGAAAAATTTATATGAATTACTGACACATTAAATTATAACTTGGGTATGATTTTAAGGAATCAAGAGAAAGAATTTCAACTGCTTTGGTTTAAAAAGATTTCAATATTAAATATTGGATATCTACTTGGAAAATATGACAATTAAATTCTGTTTCAATGTACAAGGAAACTTTTACCCACTCACTAAAGCTACCACATAATTTGTTAAATTAAATTGTGCTCTTTTCCTTACTCAGACTTAAGTTCCAAGTAATTGAAGTCCTGTATCATTTCTTCCAGGCCTTTGCTCTTCACACATAATTGGGATTAGTTAGACTGGCTCAGCTTCATAAATTCCGGTTTAATAAGGTGTTTACAGCAACTCACCATTCACTGTACAGAATTCTCTCTTCCAAAGTGTCTAGGATAGGCTGTTTGACATTTAGCTATCATCTGTCTTTTCATTTTGCTTTCCTGACCTACCAAATCTGAACTATATTTGGACTCCTGTTACTGTGGCCACTCACAATTTCGCTCAATAGGAAAGTGTTTTCCTAGATTTATAAGTGATGGTAAACATTGATAATGTGAAAAAAAATAACAAATTGCTGAAAATAATAATGGAAGCACTATGTGAAAATGATTTTCATCATGATCTAACAATAGAATATTCACTTGCTTGTCCTAGAGATAATAATGGACGAGTTACAGTTAGCTAATTTATGATAGCAAATGTGTTTGTCTTTCAAATAAGCATGAAACAGAATGGATTAAAAAAATTGCATCTCATAAGCTCATACTATTAGCAAGGCAGTTTTTAATTTCTTATCAGAATTTACTCGACAACAATTATTTTTATATGCTCTTTTTCTAAGGGAAAACTGTAGCCTAGAGTTTATAAAAAAAAAGTTACAGGGTAAAAGAGTGTTAGAATCAAGACTGAAACACAAGTAAGACTGCAATATAAATGTCATGTTGAAAAGGTATTTTTCCACGTGTGAATTCCAATATGAAATTCCTCTGTGACTCAGAGATACATAAGGGTCCTTGAGTATCACAAACCTGGAGGCTGCCAGACCAGAGATGGCAGTGTCTTTGATCTGTTTCACATAACGGATTCACTTCCTTGATTAATTCTGACTGTCTAACTTTTCGTATCCTCTAATTACTTTTGAACTTGAGAAAGACACATGCAATTGTGTATGTTAAATTTGAGGTTATATTTTGGTGCAACCAAAACATTCACTGGACCTAGAACAGTTTTCTCTGTCTTAACTGAGAATGAAATCATTGTTTTCTTTGATTGTTTGTTTGAGACAGAGTCAGGACTGCCCTCAAACTCACAATCTTCTTGCCTTAGCCTCTCAAGTGCTAAGATTACAGGTGTATGCCACCATTTCTGGTTTCAAATGAAACCTATCTAGCA